TGGTGTTCTGCAGGGCACACGGACAAACCTGAGATGATATACAGCACTGTAAGGTTTTAATGACCTTTGCTTAAGATGATCAATGTACGTCACTCTTAGATATTCAACCTTCCCAAAGTCATGCCAGTAAAATGTTTATGCTACAAACATCATCATCTGTTCTCTATTGTACCTCCACATGCAGACACACATATTATATACCTTCAATTACATTAAAACTGTTTATACAATAAGTCACAGTTGAAGCTATACCTTATTTGTTCAAACATCCAAGTTAAATTTACATACTAATCGTTGCATATTTGGCTTTAATAGATGCACTATTAGAAAATAAACATAATAAATGAATAACCATTTTAGCATGGAGTCACCTAATCTTGATGAAAAATATCTGAAAATGCAGCAACCAGGGAATCTATTTAATTTTTATTTGAAAATAACGCTAATCATAAACTAAGAAGATAAATACAAATTATATAGAGTAGCATACTAATGATGGATCAGACAGACCCATCCTGTGCAGTGAATGCAATAAGATCAAACTGGTTGAAATAGATGGTATATACTCTAGATGCTCTCCTTCTCAAGCATGGAATAAAGGATATAGACTAGGATGGTTTAACTTGCTAGAGTTTCCCCTTACACTTGACAGTGCATTTTATTTTCAGCATCTTCTAAAGCTTCAGGACAAGCTCTGTGCCTCCCAGCAACAATCAGGCTTGTGCACAGGAAAGATGCACAGGGATGATTACTGTCCCTGAAAACTGAGAAGTGCATAGTAAGGCAGAAAAGTTGCACTGTCTATTGGTGTGAACATGATGGCTCACATACACAGCAGACAGTGCAAACTGGGCTACTGTGTAAATCCTTTGTCATTAGAGCAGGAGCTTAATTCCTACAGCACACTGAGCAAAGACAAATGGGAGCAAGCAGGCCCAGCCTTTGCTATCTTGCACAGGAGGGAGAGGAGCCTGCTTTGACTTCCTTTCCAGTATAATGTATTGCTTCTTTCCACACAACTACATCTTTTTGATTATATACTTTTCCTCATCTTTGCTATCCTCAATTGTTCAATTTTCAAAGCAGAATGAGTTTCCTGGATTAGGGCCACATACACCATTCTGGGTACAGCTGTGCAGGAGGTGAACAGGGTCAGTTCAAGTTGTTTGTCAAGTCTCCTCACCCCACTTCCAAAAGGCTACTATCCCATCAGGTCTCCAGCAGTGCTTCTCCAGGAGCTTTTTCTCTTCTGGAGCCATTAAAATGACCCTGCTTAGAAAGTCTATTATTTTGAGTTTTGAAGCTACCAGGTAATTATAAAGGAATTGAATTTTGAGAGACTGCATGTGCCAGCAGACACTAGGAATGAGCAGCCCCTGGAGATGATGGAAGGGGTGACAAAAAACAGGTGGTGCTAGGCTTATTGCAGATATTGAAGAATGTTACAGATAATGTAGCAATTAGGAAATCCAGAAGACTGTAATTCCCATAAGCTCACAGAGGAAGTCTGTACTTTTGCTAGAAATCTGATCCAGTTTCCTTCTGTACCAGTGCCAAAACAGCCATAATCATGCTTCTGCTGGACCTCAGTGCAGGCCACAGGGCTCCTCAGCAATCAAAATAAATTTAAAACAACAGCTACCAGAGACACTGGCAGCATCAAATGAAAGTGACTTTGTGAAGGGAGAACCTACCAGGAGTCACTTGACAGGATGTGCCACTTGCTTGCCTTGGCGGCAAAATTATGGAGGCTCCAGGATCCACCCTGCTGCCAGAGACCATTCTTCTTAATCAAAACCTCTGGGCTCGCCACACTACATCTGAATTGTGAGTGCCTTCCTTCTCTAAATGTATCTTATCTTCATTTTTGTACCTTTCCTTGAGAGTTGTCAGTCCCTGGACTTTTTTTTTTTTTTTGTAAGAATGCTGGCTCAGCACAAACCAGAAAGCAATTACATGGAACTGTGCTCAGGGCCCTGGCAAACAGAGACATAACACAGCGGAACAGATCGGTACCGAGCTGTTTGTTTTATTACATTGTGCCTTGCAGGTTCTTGGTCCTTCCTGTCCTGCCCATCCTCAGCCTTTCATTCCACAGCCTGAGCAGAAGCCCTATACAAACAATTGAAAGCAAGTTACCAGACCCTGATCCCCACACTGTTGTCACTTGTGTCAAATTATAGCTGAAGTGATTTGCTAATCCAAATCCAGGCAATAATCTGATCTGTGGGGAGAAGCACTCTAACACTGCTGTGCTGAGCAGCCACAGTGGTACAAGCACTGTCAGCTTTTCCCAGCACTTTTTGACCTACTGAAGCCTGCACACATGTACTGAGCAACTGATGACAAAGGGAAAAGTCTGACGCATTCAGGCTGTTAAAATGCACAAGACATATACTCTAAGTTCCAAGAAAATGCTCCAATTAAATGCAGTTTTGGAACAAGAGTATACTTAGCCCAGCTAAAGGTTACTGCTATGTCATGTGAAGAACATTTTAAAGAAGAGAAAGAAAAATAGTTATGTTGGTGGATCATATTTATAATATAAGGATCTGGGGGAGTACCCAAAGGTTGAGAGGTCTCTCTCAGTTAATCACATAAAGGATTTACCTGGACTTTCTGAGACACAGGATTCAATTTCTGTCATGAAAGGCTCTCAAAACCCGTGGTCTGTCTTTGTTCAGTTCAGTCAGGCTGAAAAGTACTGCATGGCCTTGCATGCAGAAAATCTGACACTTTTAAAATATCCATTGAGATTTCTTACAACATCCACACTGGAAGACAGACTAAAAGTTTTCTTTCAAATGTCATATGAATAAATCATGTGATTCATTAATTATGACTCTTTAGCAAGCAGACAGGAACAAAAGGTCTGCTAACTTGGTTTTACAGCATACCTGATAAATAAGAACAGAAAAAAAAAATGGAGATCTTATGGTAGCACCAAAGAGTATTTCATAGTATTTTCATTTGAAGGGTCATTAGCCCTTTAAAAAGCAATGCCAGTATGGACTAGAAGTATGCACAGCACAGACCTCGAAAAAGCTCAATGTAAGATACCAGATGAAAGCTGGATATAGACTTGCTTTCAAACAAAAATCCAAGCTTGTCTCTATTCTCTTATATTCAGATACAGAATTGAAAAATGTAAACTAAGAGTTGGGGAGAATTAACAAAACTGAAGATGAAACATCCAAGTCTAGTAGGTATGTATGTATTAAAAGGGAAAGGGGGAAAAATGAAAACAAAAGAAGAAAAAAGAATAAAACAAATAAAAATTAAAAAGTCCCTAAGCAGTACTTGATATCAGAGAAAAAAATCTGTTTCTAAAACATTGGCCATACTTTTTTTAGAAGAAAGAAAGAACCAAAACTAAGGCTACCAAAGAGCACCAATAAAAATAAGTCACATTTAGCTTCCTAGAAACTATGTACTTTACTCTGAGCTTATCTACAGTAACCTGTGCCTTCGTCCTCTTCAGATTGCTTCACTACACCTGACTTGCCTAAAACTGAACATGAAAACTACATACAACTTAGAGAAGTCAGACACCCAGCCCTCTCTTTGACTCACCTTCAACATCAGTCCACAGCATTCCAACAATCTGGGCCTTTCCCCAAAAGCCCAGTCTACCATTAATATCAGTTGGAAGCTTGGATCCACAGTTTTAAAGCAAGCAAGAAATCTCATCTTAGCTCCAACAAATTGCAATCTATAAATCAAGCCACGAGCTCAGGAGCAAAGCCAATCAGAAAAATGGGGGCTAAAAAGGAGACCTGAGCATTTTTTATCGAAAAGAACAACAAGCATTCTCTAGGAGATCAAGGAAACCTACAAGCAGACACACCTTCAGGAACAGTGGCAAAAACCTGTCTTTCTGTAAGATAACTAACTACAAGCTGAATACACTAATGCCCATTATTACCAAACAAACAAATAAAAAACACCAACCAACCAACCAAATTCCCCAAGCCCCTACCCAAACCAATAAAGCCAAAACTACCCCCCAAACTTATCCCAAACAATATTTTGATGCTACCAAACAAGATATGTGAGAATTGCATGAATTAAAAACAAATGGATGGATGCTGCTACTGATGTGGAGACTCCTCAAATGTCATCTATCACTGTTGATTTCCCCTTTAATAACTACAATTCTTTAAAAACAATAATCAAGCTGCACACAAAGAAATCAAATGGTAAAAGGCAGCTGCACAAATTATTTTACTGCTTTAGCGTTTCAGACTTTGTCAAGCATCTGTGTAGCTCAACTCCCCCAAAGACCAGCTGACACTACCTGAGTTGAACCTCCCCATGCTCCTGTTGAAGAGTATTATGGAAGTAGCATTTCCACTCAATCCAGTCATGCCTGGTTGCTTTGTAAGTACAAAAAGCAAGATGAGGTTGCTAACTACAAAAATCACCACAGCAGAAGAGTTACAAAACAAATACAAGCCAAACCTGCACTCTTCTCCCCTGCAATGCCAGGAGAAAGGAGCTGACAATGAAGATGGCAAGGCACATCCACAAAGAATTTGCCAAAGGTTAACATTGCAACTCGCATTGACATCAATGATTGTAGAGTGAAAACAATGGGAAATATGTTATGACCTTTGAATGCTTTGCATCAAACAAATATTCATAATGAAACAGAATCATGGACTCAACTCAAGGACATAACTAAGCTATAACAAATCCAAACTACAGGCCTAAATCAATCTCTATTATGGATATATTTAAAAGTTAAATATATGTGCTTAAGCATTATTCAGAACAGGGATGTTGACTGGGTATCAGCAGGAACTTGCAACATTATCTGTTTGGAAAAAATGTTATTATCAAAAGCTGGATTTTACAGCAGTACATCAGAGAATCATGATAGTTGTAAAGATGTTGCTTTAAAACCTAATCTTTTAATGACACAGAATTTTATTCATGTAATATTCACTAGGGATGTATACACATTACAGTAAATTATTATCATATATATGTTATTTTACCTGGAACTTTATTTTTTGCCAAATGTGAGGCCCAATAAATTGTTTCAAGAAGCGTTCATCTTCACTCCAGAACAGTCGGATGTCAGGGATATCGTACAGGATCATGGCCAGCCTCTCCAAACCCAAGCCAAATGCCCAGCCAATTTTATCCTGAGCACCAGCTGCAACACACAAGATAAAAATTCAAATCTTAAGTTCACAACATGGTAAATTACTGATATAACGTTCACCTATTTATTAAGAGGGAATAAAGAAAAAGGTGAAATGGCAAACCAGAAAATCTTACAAGTAACTGCCAAATGAATGATCTAAAGGTTACAGGACAGATCCTACTTAAATAAAAAACTGCTGCAAGACTGAGCACATCACTGAGCCCAGGAACCAAAAATGGCTATAAAACAAAGCCACAGCCCTGACAATTTGTGTCCAAAGTTTCAGACAGGCTTGAGAAATACTGCATAATACTCTACATCACTACTCTTCACTATGCTTAGAGCTGAGCACTACCTCACTTGACTCCGCTGTGTTTCATAAGACACATAAACATGAATTCCCTGTTCAAAGTATTTTCCTTGGTCTGACCGACCAAGTCAAGCCTACAGAGCATAAACATCATTACCAACATTTCAAAAGATCATAATTGCCTCTTTTGAGGCTTTTGGAAGAAACAGAGCAATGGGATATGAGGCACCGTTGCATTAGCATCACACCTCCAACCAGGGAAATCCTGAGCTGCTGTTCCTGGGAAAAGTCACTGCTCTTACATTAACAAGTCTCTTTTATTCAGCACTAAATATAAAAGGACAAGAATATTTAATAAAGAAAAACAGATATTAATGATGCAACACTTCTGTCAGGAAAGTAAATATTCATACCTTCCTTCATTTACAGGGCTGGAGCACTGATTCATGCAAACAGGGATCTTTTCAACACAAGAAACTGAGTCTATGTTTAGCCATCAGCCTTCTGACTTTGAAATAAGCTTAGAGCCCAGAAGCCTTGGCAAAGGCTCAGAGCTTTTAAAAACTTAAACAAATGCCTAAACAAACTGAAAGGATGTGAGCATGTGCAGCAGACTTGACTTCACACCACCAGCACTTGCAGTGTGCTCCTGAGTCACACAACACTGCACATCTCACAGCTATGCACCAGGGCCACAGCAGCCCCTCCAGCATCAGTTTAAACTAATTTTTTGGAAACTTTGGACTCAGTAGGTTTCCCATCTTCATGCAGGAGGCTGGAAGCACAAGTCTGACCCTTGTCTCCGCTATCAGAAAGGAGACAGCTCCTGTTATTTGAGCAATGATGACAGACACGCTGAGGTAGCCTGTTGTGTTCAATGCTGAGACTAAACAGGCCTGAGTTCTGCTCAAATAGAGGGAGGCACACCAGGCTTGGGGAAAAAGACACACTAACAACTTCAATTCCATTAATTCACCTGAACTTGCCTACTTTTCTGGAATAACAGGTCCTCAGCAGAGGCTGTGTCTCACCTGCTGTGTTAGCAGTACTGCGCTCCCACAGGAGTTACATCAGCTTATAAGAGGACTTCATAGAGGAGTCAGGATATTCTGCCTGTTCCTTCTCGTGTGCTCAAGGGCAAGATTTGGCACTTTCTAACATTTGAAAGCAGACAGTTCATCAACTGAACTGTGGAAGTCCTAGGAAATAGAGGACCAGTTGTGAACTCAAAAGGTACCTCATGGCAGAGATGCTCAAAACAGTGCTTAGACCAACCAGCAGGCTATGAGCTCATCTGGCCCTGGAAACCTACAATCCATGCTACATTACATGAAGAACTGCACAACTTGCTTCTGCTGATTTTTAGAGAAAGCAGAGTGACTACAAAGAATGTATTGAAATTTGTATTTGGGAGGGATTTTGAGCTTAAAGCATAAACCATAAACTGTTTATCTTTCATGCTGAAAGTACTGCTTCTCTCCATACATCAGTATATTAAAGTAATTAAATTTGTATGTCTGTGAAAAAGGGAATATAATTCATTGCAATGGTGTTGCTTCTTCAAATTTCCAGCTTGCCTTTCCCAGAACAGCAACTCCTGCCTCAGTGAGAGAGCTCCTATTCATTCCAGAAGTACCAGATTTTCATATACATATGGGCATTTCTGTAGACCAACCCCGTCCTCCAGATGTAAAGTAAAGCACCAGGAGCAATATCCATGAGGATTCTGAATGGTCACTGCTTACTCTCAGCAGAGGCATTAAACCTGAAACCTAAAGATGCCAGATTAATCATTAGCATTATTAATTCACAGATGCTCAATAAAGTATACATGATGGGGATGATGATCCTCCTTCCCCATCCTAGTGATGATTAGTGGTAGATCAGACAGGAAAAAAAAAGATATGACAGAAGATAAGAACATGTGTATAGTCTGGTTAGCAGAGCTTTACATTTAAAATTTGGGCTTTTTTAGTATTTTGATATGAGAATGGTTTTCACTGTAACACTTTCCCCCTCATTGACTTCCTATGAACTTGAACTCTGCAATAAATATCTTGATATTATATCAGCAACTTCTTTTCTGTTCTGGTTTTCTTGCTTGGTTTGTTGGGTTTTTTTTAAGAAGGACTGGGACACATCATAGGTTTTTACTCATAACAGACAAAGAAACTCTGCTATCTGCCTAGCACCTCAGAACATTGTCATCTGAGCTATGATTAAACACCTATTCACCAAACTGAATTTGTCTTTTGGATGATCCTTGTACAATTATCAGCCTTCAAACCACAAACCTCTCAAATGTCCCCAGTGAAAGCTGTATCAGTGAAGAATTACCTCTACTCAGACGAAATAAATGAAAGAAAAAGAAAAATTCATATTATTAACATTCCTCCTCAAATCAGCACTAGCAAATCTCTGCACTCTGAATCTTCAGTTATTTTGTCTCTGACCTCTTCTCCAACTTTCTATTTGTAAAGCTCCAAGTCAATGCGGCATTCACTTAAGTCATTTGAACAACTACCTTGGGGGACTCAACAAGATTAATGCATGCTTCTAAACATATTTCTGACTGGAAATTATCAGGTGACTTAGAAATTAAATGAGCCAGTAATCATCCTGATAAGTGAGGGAGCAACCGATAGCTTTCCCAATACAGATACATGTTTAAATGCACCAAATGTTGGTAAGTATTATGCAAAGAAGTCAAGTGAAAGTGAGTCAACAAGACAGGAAGAGTGAACACAGAACAGCATTAAATATGGCAAAAAGCAAGCTGAGGTTCTGATGAGGAGACCTGGCCAAAGCAGCAGATTCCAGGGACCTGGTGGGGCAATCATAGCATCACTGCTTGAAATAACACAGCCCAACAGATAAAGCTTTCCTGACACTCAAGCTTTCCCCAACTGGCCATCAAAGGTTTTTATACTGCCAGGCTCCTGCTGCCTCACATGAAAAATCTGACTCCCCACCAGAAGAAAATTGCTGGAAGCTTTGCTTGTCAGGTAGCCAAAGATGGAGGAGGAAAGGATAAAACAGTTTGACTGGCTTCCCACACTGGAAGCTAGGACAGCCCAAATCTGATGCCAGAAAGTTGCACCATTGCAGCTCTGTCTTACAGAGAAGCTCAAGAATCCTTATCTTCCTTGATAAGTCATATCTATTTATCCTGGACTTCAGCTTCGAGCCCAGGTGAATCAGCTTACATGTAATGTAGACCAAGCAAGTCATTCTCCAAAAAGCAAAGTTAAACGAAAGTTAAATTTGCTCAGCCAGGATGGGAATCTTCCCAATCATTCACTAAGGCATAAATAATGGCCTGCCAGAATTAATGGATTATATTGTCCTGAATCCTCAGAAAAAAACACAGACAGAAACACTCATCCTCTCAAGAAGTGTGAGGCAAGACATTCTGCTCTGTACAACAATTTTAAGACATAATTTGCAACACAGTATTAGTAACAGGTTGACAAAGCTTTTTTGGTTTTCATTTCAGACATACATATTTTTATATCGATATCGGCTTTTATTTAAGAATTTTTGCTACTTCTGTAAAACTGCCAATAAAAAAATTCTTTCTTTCAACAGACCCTAAATTGGGTCTTCAAACTGTCATACTCAGCAGTTACTGAGAAGTGAAAGAAATTAAATTTTGATCTTGGATTGAGGCAAAATCATGAATACACAGCAGCCTGCATAGAAGGTGTTCTTCACAAAATGCACAACATTTAATACACCCAAAGTATTAGTAGCTGAAATCTGGGATGAGTTCCAGAAGCAAAGACCTGAATTTGATCTCCTTCTTTCAGTCCAAAATATGACTGTTAATGGAGCCAGTTCTAGAACTAAACTGGTGGGAAGAGGGGTGAACAGATTCTCAAGGGCACATGGATTACACATCATGTTTTACAAAACAAATCAGCTTTAAACTGTATAGAAAGTAAATTATAGATATCATGAACACGTGACTTGACACAAAACACCACGAATTCTGGAAACAAATGCCAAGGCCCAGATTTGAGTTCTATGTGATTAATGGACAGCTTATGAATCAGGCTTTGAAAAACAGGTTCAGCAAAATAAATATTTACTTATTTCTAAAGACTAGGAATGCATAGTCTACATAATGGCCACAGTAATGAGGTGAACATGTTTACTTCTGCTAAAAATAAGCCATTTTAAATTATTTCCTTACTATTTCCCTAAATTTTTTCATATAAAACTCCCATATGTTGGGAGTAAAAAGTTTTACGTGGAAAAAAAGTAATACTAAGGCATCAGTCTAATAGAGAAGAGCTTCTCAAATTGCAAGGTCATGTGGCTGGGATGTTAAGCAACTGAGGCCAAAAAGCTCACCCAAGTTTTCTCTGAACTCCCCTCCAGTGAAAGCAAAAATCAAAACCATCACAATGTTCTCCTGTAACTCAGTTAAACTGATGCATTCAGGCTCCTGTGTGGAACTCATCTTAAATTACACCCTAAAATGAGGACTTGGCATTCAGTCTAGGCATGCTAAGAAAGCCACTCTTCAAGAACTCAATAAAAGAAGTAAACATTCAATTATGCCCATTCTGTGGAAAGAGAACTTACCTTTCTAAATCTCATGTGTGGAATAATTTTCTAACAATTACAATTTTCTAAGTCACTTTGAGACTACAGCTATGTCTCCTGGGTCAGACTGATCTGTTCTGTTCTGAAA